CTGATCTTGGGCTATATACACTGTCATTAATCTCTGGGCATGAAACGGGGCCCAACACACAAAAAACCCTACTACTACAGCCACTGGAAAATAGATATAAAAACATAGTTACTATTCCGTTATATAAACAATAATCACTCGAACAATAGAAAGAGATACCGAGAATTGACAAGTCTAAATTCCAAACTTACAGAGTAGTAATAGGCAGAAATAGTCTTTTGTAATTAGTTTCAATTCTTAGACCAAACTTTCGTTCCATGTTTTTCATTAGCTTTTATTTTCAATAAAGCCACTTCAGTTAGAGTTCCTAACCTAACCTAACCAAACCCGCGTCATAGAATGCCAGCGCCGGAGAAGCCAGAAATTTGATTGGTTAATTTGACGAACGATCAAGAGGACTGTTACTAGAACCTAACTGAAGTGGCTATATCAAAAATAAAAGCTTTTAATAACACGAAACGAAAGTCTGATTTTCAATAGATTGAACAAAGTGAACTGTGCATCTTAATGCTTTAAATTTAACCCGGATGTGCAAAAATTGTATTGTTCTGTAAAAGAAATGACAACAAATGTTCTAAAAATGTGAGCATCCCCTCTCTTAAGTTTTGTTATCTTGGTTTGATGTTTAATTTACAGATTGATATCGGCCTAGTTCACTGAGAAATATGAATCTTAATCTACTAAAGACCAAATATCAAATGATGTTGAAACAAAACCTCATCTATCAATTCTTTTCACCAGTCTTTTTTCTACAACAGTTCAACTTTTTCTTCAACAGGGCATCCTCACAATGTCAAGCTATTACAAACATTATCTTCACAATGTTAAACTATAACAAACTTCATCTTCACAATGTCAATATATTACAAACTTCATCCTCACAATGTCAAGCTATTACAAACATTCATCTTCACAATGTAAAGATATATTACAAANCTACCTCTTTACAATGTCAAGATATTACAAACTAAATCTTCACAATGTCAAGCTATTACAAACTTCATCTTCACAATGTCAAGATATTACAAACTTCATCCTCACAATGTCAAGCTATTACAAACTTCATCTTCACAATGTCAAGCTATTACAAACTTCATCTTCACAATGTCAAGCTATTACAAACTACATCTTCACAATGTTAAACTATTACAAACTACATCTTCACAATGTCAAGCTATTACAAACTTCATCTTCACAATGTCAAGCTATTACAAACTTCATCTTTACAATGTAAAGATATATTACAAACTACCTCTTTACAATGTCAAGATATTACAAACTAAATCTTCACAATGTCAAGATATTACAAACTAAATCTTCACAATGTCAAGCTATTACAAACTTCATCTTCACAATGTCAAGATATTACAAACTTCATCTTCACAATGTCAAGCTATTACAAACTTCATCTTCACAATGTCAAGCTATTACAAACTTCATCTTCACAATGTCAAGCTATTACAAACTAAATCTTCACACTTTTAAACTATTACAAACTTCATCTTCACAATGTCAAGATATATTACAAACTTCATCTTCACAATGTCAAGCTATAACAAACTTCATCTTCACAATATCAATCTATTACAAACTTCATCTTCACAATATCAAGCTATTACAAACTTCATCTTCACAATGTCAATCTATTACAAACTTCATCTTCACAATATCAAGCTATAACAAACTTCATCTTCACAATGTCAAGCTATTACAAACTTCATCTTCACAATATCAATCTATTACAAACCAATCAGAGACCTCGTCAGAAAATCTCTTAACACAAAGCCATATCATATTTCAGCCTTTCTGTCGAGTGCTCTGATTAGATGTTTGCGCTGGCGTACATTCCAATCAAGTAGCGGCATTCCGTGATACAAGAAAGATGGCTATTGTAGTCAAGGTATAAGTACGTACGAAGTAATACCTTGGCATGTTTGCGATATCAGTATCCGCTGGAAGCGAATGTTAACTTGTCATCTACCAACAACTAGCTAGTTCGTGATATCAGCATCCGCTGGAAGCGAACGTTAACTTTCATCTACCAACAACTACCTAGTCTGTGATATCAGTATCCGCTGGAAGCGAACGTCAACTTGTCATCTACCAACAACTACCTAGTCTGTGATATCAGTATCCACTGGAAGCGAACGTCAACTTGTCATCTACCAACCAACCTACCTTGACATTGTGAAGACAACAGCAGGGCTATTTTTAAAACCACCAGGTTAATAAGAATGTCAAAGAGAATGTTTGATGAGTTAAGTTATCTCCCTTGATTGAATTATTCCACTATATTTTATGATATTCCAGTTCTAAATATTTCCATCTGTCAATCAATCAAATTTAGAAATCATTTTATAATAAATCACTATACTAATATTTTAATACTGGCTCATTTATTACTTACTATTACAGGGAGACAATCGACTTATATTACTTGATATGTTTTATTTGTTCTTATTATGTATCTTGTATTAAGGGGGTTGTTAAGAGGCTTCTAAATCTGTCACTAATCGCATAGGGTCGAAATGGTAAGTAAAATCTGAAATAATCCTAGTTGTATCATCTTACCTACCTAACATTTTAATCACAGCAGTTTTAGCAGCAGTTTTAGCCTCGAGTTTACCATTAGATGTAGTAGTTGGCTGGTGAAAATGAGATTTTTTCAGGCTGATTCCGATCAAGACGTACATGACTGTTATAACTACCATAGGTAACACAAAAAACACAAAGGTTGAAATCTGGAACATGGATGTCATAGATTCCAGCCATTCAAATGGAATGTTACATTGTAGAGATTCATAGATAGGATCTGTGCTGTTCGGGTATTTTAAGTAATAAAACAGTCTGGTATGAACAGGGAAGGGTAACGCACAAACACACGCCACTAACCAAATAACTAATATAATGCGTACCGCTCTACGCAGGTTTGAAAATGTCTGCGATTTGATTGGATAACAAATTGCTACGTAACGTTCCCCAGTGAAGGCAGTGATGGTCAATACGGAAGCATATGACGTCATTTCCGAGAAAAAAGATTTAAATATACAGAAGGCTTCACCAAATCTCCATGGATACGCTTCCCAAATACTGTAAAGTTCTGGCGGGAGACCTGAAAATACAAAAAATATTCTGATTTTAAATTATCATCTCAGAGATCAGAATTATCAGCCCACTTTTAACAGAGTTTTGATTGGTTACAATGTATCTTTTAACATTTGATGGTCAATATACTCCTGAACATGATTTTAAGAGGGATTCTGTCTGATAAAGGTTGGAATGTAGATAATAAATATATAATGAAACAACAGATAGGCAGGTGAATTGTTCAAATATTTTGATCTAACATAAGGAGATTTTAAAGAGATAGTATTTCATAATGAAAAGTGGTATCAGGTTTCTAGAAGAATAAGCATACAAGCCTTGCACCACCCCCAAATCGCTTTTTTTTAATAGATGCAGTAATAAAATCAAATTGATAACGTGAAGCATTAGATGTCCATTTTAACTCAAGCTGAAATAGAGTTCCTTTAAACCAATCCGTAGTCTACTTCATATCACGTGGTAAAAACCATTTCTATAATATTAGCATCAAATGGGAGGAAATTCAGAAACAATTTTGAGTTGTTAATTATCTTTTATAATGGCTTGTTCTCGTGACTGACGGTAGGTGGCACTGTGGAGTATTATCACAAGATATTTCCCGCCAAGAATATCCGTTTCGCTCAAGATGTCTATAGTGAACTTTATCGTCTGAGTAGAGTACAGTATGTTCAACAGTACACGGCAAAGTACACATAGTACTCAAATTATGTACTCCTACGCCATTTTATGTCTTGATTTGGTATAGTCTGATGCAGGAACCGCGGTGGCTCAGTCAGTTAGACGTTTGCTCGCTAACCTGAAGGTCCAGGGTTCAATCCCGGCATAGGTTGAGATCATACCTTCGGATTTTTCAACCCGGTTTCCCCCTGTCAGTGATGGGGATAAGAGGGGCTGACAAGGAAAAGGCGTCTGTTCGTTCGAATGGGACAATAAACCGAGGCCCCGTGTGCTACAGGCTGTGCACGTTAAAGATCCCTCGACAGTTGGAAATCGAAAAAGAGCATGCTAATGCCGCTGTCCGAGAAAAAGTTCCCTCATTGCACCCTGCATGGCGTTGCCCGTCTTCATTAGCCCACAAGGTGCAGAAAAGTGGGAAGTAAATCTTCATTCATTTCATTTATAGTCTATAACAATGGTGGAATGATGACGCTGAAATAGATTTTAAAGAGACATATTCGCCATCCGTTTGACCAATCGTATCTTAGTCTCAGAACACTAATAGTTTTCACCGCTAACCGTGGAACTTTAAACCTTCAAATCCATGTGTGTCCAGAATTAAATATTAATGGTTCTTTGTAAGACTTTGTTTGACAGAATCATGACGGTATCTATATCTATGAGAACCTGAAGCCTGGAGCTCTATACACTATACTGTCTCTCTATATTTCATCTGATTTTATTTCATACTGTTAGTGGATACTTGACTTCAAACCAGTTTTATTGTCTGGGGATTCAATACCCTGTCTATCAGAAACCAGCTGACATCTGACAGTTGACGATATTACTTGTTCAAGTCTTGTCAAATAGGACCGGTATTATCAGTGGTAGAAGGAAACCAACGAACTTTCCGCTATCAAATATTGACGATTATGATATAGACACCCACAAAATAGAGGACCACAGAGGGGTGAGGGTTGTTATTCTTGGGATTCAGAAGACCTCTCTACTTCAACAGCAGTCGCTCCACCTTCCACCTTCTTACTTAAGCGACATTTAGTAGAGATCACATCAAATACATATACTACGTCTGAGTTTTATTGTACACATTTTCATTTTTTAATTCATTTTTTATTTAGGACAAAATTTGGTTCCATCTTTTTTTATATTTTAATACTAATCATTGAAAATATACTTTCATATTAATACTTCTCAACATTTAGAACCGAAACATCTATCTCTCATTTCTATATTTTTATAGTTAAATGTATTTTACTTCTTGGATGCGCAAATCGTAAATCTTAAAAACGAAGTACTCGAGTTGACAAGTCTTATCTCCCCCGAGGACAGAATTAGAAATAATTGAGACGGAAATTAAAGTGGTGCGCAGTGCGACAAGGTCACATTGGTTGATTTATTTGATTTTCGCTGCCAAATCAATTTTACCTCCAGATAGTGACATGACAGTCAACTTCTTGACAATGATAAATAGTATTAAAGGCATACGGCCTCTTAGAATGATCACATAATAGGAGTATAACAGTAGACTTGAAATTAAAATACAACAGAATCACATGTAAATGACGATACATTCATTAAACTAGGAGTTACTTGAAAAACGTTTAATATTTAAATTACTTAGTTTAATGAATTACTTAGTTTAATGAATTACTTAGTTTAATGAATTACTTAGTTTAATGAATTACTTAGTTTAATGAATTACTTGGTTTAAATGTATTTATTGGATTATGAAGAGATTCTGAAGTTTTGATAAAAGGTAAGCCCACTGCTGAACAATGACTCATTTGGCCAAGTTTCAAATTTAATCTTTTGGTCATCCTAAGAGGTAGTATTCTTTTAAAGGGATCTGGTTGTCTTATTTTACCCGTATTACTTTTCAACATGAAAATTGATTGCGCGTTTGCATGAAATTACACGAAAAAAATGTTATATTGTAAGTTAACAAATTATATGCAATATCAATTGCAGTTTTTTGTTTTGTTCAAAATAAATTATTCATTGTACCTTTTAATTTTAAATTTATTTAAAACGAACATTTGGTTTCCCGCAATATTGTTCCAGTAACATTTTGTGATTTACACTTTGATAATTACTCAGAAGATTATTAGTAGATATGTAATCAATACGTAAGACAATTATTATGCAATAAATCCCATGCACAGAAGAATAAATCTATATAAGAATTTAATTGGAAGGCAGAAAAACGTCAAAATAATTGGATTCGTAATGGTCGATCAATTATTTCCACAGAACAAATCAGAGAGCGGTATTCTCGAGAAGTCGACACACAACAGATAATCAAAATAAAAACCACCGATTAAAAACAGTTCAATATCTACTTCTAGACTAATCCCGGATTATCTTTCCCCACTATTAATCCCCGGAGAATTCACAGTAAATCTTTTAATCCCCGTCTTAATCCGCGGTCAACTTCAATGATTATTTGGAAATTAACAGAAAACCATCAAGATTTTAGAATGACAGTATAGTAAACTATTTCTGGTGATGGTAGCCAACTTCTGAATATCATAAAACTAACCGTTCTACACAAACACTCCTGGTGCAGCCTGTGATCCAAGAGGCGTGGTTTTACCTACTTGACAGTGTGGGTCATTTTCTCATTTTTTTAGGTTTACTCCGGGGTTATAAGATTTGAACGACATTTAGACACGAGGAGCACATATATAACACAAGACAATAATTATGTCAGATTCACAATTTGTAGGGTCCTGGATAAGCTTTAACTTCAACTTTTCTCATTTCAAATCTTCATATCGTCATGGATATGCGTGGTGCGTGGTGTATTTTTCCCTGGGTAATACAGCCCAAGCAACACCCCATCACATCCTCACCCCCCTTCCCCCGTCCCCTGATATTTATAACCTTCCAAGAATGGAACTGGAATGATTCTATCAATCAGTCCGTTCCATCTAGTAAACGAGAATGAATATGGTAATGACGTGACTTCCGGTTGGTAAAAGCCTACTTCCGGTATACTATTTATATTGGTGATTGGAGTCGATCAGCAGTTAATGATATATGTAGTTGATTATACAGCTTCCGGTTTTGTCTCGTCCTAGCTCCACTGGTACATTACAATTTCAAGGTTTTTTCATTTCATTTCGTTTCATTTCAGCGACAAATTGTTAACAATAGCTATAAGAGACTAGGTAAAAGTCACTACCATAGCCCTAGTCCGAAACATCTAATAGATATTTTAGCAGTTATCGGCTTCATAGTGTCAGAGACTAGGCCCTGTTTTATGAAGATTTTTTTTTAACACATTTGAAATGCATGTTTTCTAAAATAATATTCAATTACCTTTACGATGACTGTAAATTATTGTAGGGCATTAACGCTACTTTCGTTTTATCAGTATCACGTGACCCCATGACCCATCAAAACTTTGATGGAACCGCACAAACGTGACATAAATGGTGTAAGAAGAAAATTTATGAACTACAAAAATCTCTATCTTTCCGAATTTAATAGATCAAAACATTTCAATAAAACAGGGCCTAGTTTTTCTGTCTCTACACCAGCCGACAACTTTCAAAAAAGCTATTAGAGGCTGGAATAGATGTCTACCTTAGCCCTAATACGTATTTTTTGTCAGTCCTTTTCTGACCAACAACCAAATGCTAACAGTTGCTATTGGGGAGTAGTAAGATTCGGTAAGTTTCGGACTATCCTATGTTTTAGGACAACCATAGTGCATTCATATTAAAGGACCAATATTATATTTTTATTATACCAAGTGAGTATCGTTATCGGATAACCACAGAAATTCATTCTCTAGTGAAACTCATTTCCGTGTATTTGTCCCTGTAAAAAGTCCACCATTAAATGTCTGTTGTGTATAGAACAGCGTGATATTAAATCGGTCTGTAGGCGACCTTGTTAGAACCTAATACAACTGATGAATTAATTGTTCATTCTAATAAAGACCCATCGAACCCGATAATTCACAAGCAACCTCGGTAACTTTTCAATAAGCCATTCTAAAAACAGACGAACCGGAAATAGAATGAGAATAGAGTAATTTATAAAGCGAATTAGACAGACAAGGTGAACTCGATTGGAACAAATTGACAGGAGATTCAAGTAGAGTACAGATTGGATTCGATTGATTGGTCGGAACGGTCCCTCTGATTTTCGTATCTAAACTCATATCAACTCAGTTAACCTGTTGTTCGATTGTTTGGTTTGGAACTGATCTCCATGATAGTGGTATCTATGTACTCTATCTATTGCCTCCTGTTACGACAGTTAATTCTGTATATTGACTGTCTATCCTGTATGTATATTTAGAGATGATGTTTTAAGTCAGGCTGGTGTTTGACAGATTT